GACTGCCTCATCGTTGTTCTTGGGCTGGGCCTGACATTCACGGCCCCAATCTACACCCTTCTGCCATTAAATTTCACCAGTTCTTTACATGATCTGTTAACGGGAGAACAACTGAATATTCAAAACAGAGACTCCCAACACAAAATGGGAATATGAACTCCTGTACCTTTCGCTTGGGCCCCCAAGATGTTTTCAAGATATTTCTGTAGAGGCTCTGTGGGGATTTCCATCGCTGGCCTCACAGAAGAAGTATAAGGAACAAAGTGACGCAAGGGAAAAGTCAGGTAGGTTTCTAATTCTTGAACTGCAGAGTCCACATCACTGACCTGAGCAGAGGGAGGAACATGAGAGCTGAAAAAGCAAATAAGCTTAGAAGAAAAGGGGACGGTGTTTCAAACAGAGTTTCCACGCACATAGGAAGTATACCTGCAAATCTCTCTGCTGGGAAGAAATGACAAAAGGATAGTGCTAGATATTTATATCTGGCCAGTGCCAAAATTCACAGAGAATAGCTTCAAAAGCGTCTGTATCTGACAGAAGGATATTGGGTCTAATCTGGAAAGTCTAGTTTTAAAATTTTCTCCTTCCTGCACCACTTTTCACCTTCAATGTCTTAATGCCAAGTTGGCTAGCAGCTTTCAGGTTCTGTCCAATGTCATCCAAAAAGATGGATTCCTTGGCCTGGACACCCAGGCGCTCCAAGCAAAGCTGGTAGATCTGAGGGTTGGGTTTACACACTCCTTCCCGACAAGACTCTACAATCTGGAAGACAAGAGCCAGACACCCAGGCAGTCAGGCAGAAGAAGGTGGGCAAGGCCTCCTTTCAGGAGGGATTTTGAAATAAAATAAATAGAACATAAAAGCAAATGCTGTCTTACGTTTGATGCATGGGTTTAGGGTAATATTCTTCTTTCAAGGTTTTGGTGGTTTGCTGATTTATGGTCTTAAAGCATATAAACCAAGCAATAACATAACGTAATCTTTAATGCAGCTGATTAATCAACTGACTAAAAACCTCAGCTAACCAAATGCTCCCAATTAATTGTTTTTTAAAAAAAATATTTGTAGTAAAAGCAGTTAAAAAACTACTGGAAACAGATCCGAAGGGTCCAAATAGAGGTAGGATACAGAATACTTCTTCTAAGATGTTCCATAACATGAGCTATGTAGAGAAAAATATAATTCTTTTTCCTTCAAAAATGCTGCATATGTCTATGCAAGTTTAGGCAAGCGTAATTACTAAACTTTAAATATCATAATGAAGTAAAAGCCTTAAGAAATGAGAATCTGCTGAGCACAAAAAAACTTACCACATCAAATTGCTTTCTGTCTATGGGCAGAAAACTTTCTCCACTGTCTAGATAAAAGTTGTTAGTCAGAACAGCAGTCTTGAGACCTTTGGCTCGAATGCACTTTACAGCCTCAGTCATAGCCGGGAGCTGTTCTGACATTTGAAAACTGGTTAATTCAAAAAGGAAAGAATCCACTGGCACAGAAGAATTTGCCTGGGGAGAGGGAGAGACACGTTGGGTGTTTTTTTTTTTAAATGAAGAAGTAAACAGCAAATATCTTATGTACCTCATAAATTCAATCCTAGAGCTCCCAAGTATTTTTTCTTCAGTTAGAAGAAAATTAGCATAGTTTCTGAGATAGCCTGGTAGCCATGAACTGTTTTAAATTCCCAACACAATGGTGATCTTTTCTGGTTGAGCTATCAAGCTCTACTTCATAGCATTGTGGAGAAGCAAAATGGGCTTGGAGAAAAGGACAAAACACACTGAGATTGTTCACCCATAGAGCTGTTCCTTGTTGGTACCCTTGGATATTTCCACTTAATTTCAGCTTGAGAGCCTCTTCCCTTTGGTCCTTACTCATCCAACAGGGATCAAAAGGAGAAACTGGCTTACAATTCTGGAGCACCGTTGTCTGAACTCATGCTGAAATTCTGCTGGGTTCAGCTCCCCTTTCATGTATCTCATCCAGGGCCTGTTCTCACCCCCCGACATTAAGGCCTCTTCGATGGTGCCAGGGGGGACGTGATTCCGAATCTCCCAATCTAAATAAAGGCAGGCAGTCCAGTGAGGAAGCTGTATGTATCTTTGGGGACACAAAAGATTTAAGAATAATGTATAATGTGATTAAGAAATGGAGCACAGGAGTAAACCAACACTGAGGAAGGTTCAGGAATTACGGCTGAGCTGATGTTACTCATTTTTGGTTGCAAAATGATTCTCTCTGCTGTTCTAGAGGCCTTGCTCCTCCAGATGGTGGCAGAAATCCAGCAGGTTGAAGGCGCAGAAAGTTCAAAGCAGAGCTAGGAAAGGGAAGGGGATGATAGAAACACTGGGAAAAGGACCTACCCAGAGCCAGTTTGAATGGAGAAGGAAGCAGAACTCCACCCATATCAAAGATCACAGCTTTGTAGGGACAAGATGCATAATTCCTCCACAGGGCCAAGTCTGGAGGTTTGTGCCAGGAGGACTGAAGGATCTGCAGCCTCCTTGCAGGGTAGCAACAAAAGGCTTGGAAAAGTCTTCCTACACCCATACTGTTGAACTGTGCATGTAAAAGGGGAGAGAAGGGCTTCAGAGACTTGTGAGAAGCAGAATCCTGGAACATACTTATGGGGAATATACTACCATGACAATACCAGATTTTTTTTTTCTTTTTGAAGCAACATGTACTACTCTCTCTCTATACATATTTTTATAGATCCTGGCCAGGGAATTCTGGGAGCTGAAGTCCACATATCTTAAAGTTGCGAAGGTTGAGGAACACTGCTGTAGATGCTCACAAAATGGGCCAAAGGGCTTCAGGAAAGCAGAGATAAGAGATGCCCCCTTCTCCCTTTGTCTATCCTCCAATTAATTTCTCAACCCGATCCAGGCAAGTTCATCTTTTTGCCCGACTCCTGACTCCGGCACCCCGGAACAGCCTGCGTATCCTGCCCTATCAACGTTTCGCCTCGGACGGCTGCTCCCGGCCTTGGTCAACGGCTGGGGGTGCTTCCTCGCGCACCCCGACACGCGGCGGCTGTTAAACGTCGGCGCGGTAAGAGCCGCGGGGAGGACGCCGTCGCGCCTTCGCCGGAGGGCGGGGGCTCCTTTCCTTTCGGAGGGGGCGCCCTGAGGCAGAACCCGCTTGTATCCCAGCCTCGCGGCCTCCAGGAAGGGCGCTTCCATCCCCCCGGCGGACCGCAGCCTTCATAGCCGCCGATACGGGTCCTCCAGATGCCCTGGACTCCAGCTCCACTTGTCCCCAGCCAGCCACCTCTGCCACCGGCCCCCCCTCCTCCGGAGTCATCAGGGCTCCTTAAAAGCAGAAGGGATCGTGCTTCGGAGGTACTACACTGCCTATCATCCGCAGCCAAGAGGTCCCAAGGGTCCGCCCATCCCGACCTCCACCACCACCTTTCCAGAGCCCACCACCTTCCGGGAGACCTTTGACCCGAGGCGAGGTCACGGCGAACGCGAGAAGTCTTTCCGGGGACAAAAGGAAAGGCGGCGTGATCGGCCCCGCCCC